ATTAATGTTATTATTATTATTATTATTAATATTATTATTATTGTTGTTGTTGTTGTTGTTGTTGTTGCAGGCGAAGATGTTGTTGAGGAGTTCCACACGGCTGTTCTGTCTGAAGATGAGGAATTACTGGTGGTCTTCAACAAGGTCGTCATACTCATGATGATGATGATGACGATGATGATGATGATAATGATGATGATGACGACGAAAATGATGATGGTGATGATGATGAATGATCTCTGATGTCACAGTCAGATGCCCCTTGCCATTTTGTTCTCATCAGTGGTCAGCCAATCAGAGAGCCAGTTTTTCAGAGAGGTGAATTATTATTATTATTATTATTGTTATTATTATTATTATTATTATTATTATTATTGTTGTTGTTGTTGTTGTTGTCGTGAATACGATTACGATCATGATGGTGATGATAGCGATAATCACCATCATCACAATCATCATTACCACCACCATCGTCACAATCATCATCACCGTCAAAATTATCACCACCACCATCATCACAATCATCACCATCACCATCATCACAATCATCACCATCATCACAATCCTCACCACCATCATCATCATCATCACCACCACCACATCACAACTACTATCAGGACCGTTCGTGATGAACAGTCAAGAGGAAGTTGAGCAGGCCTTCTCCGACTACAGGTCCTGTAGCAACGGCTTCGAGAGCGCCAAAACTTGGCGGGAAATAAAAAGGCGGGAACTCGGAAAAGGAAGGAAAAGGAATGGTGGTGGTGGTGACGGTGGTGGTAGTGGTGGCGGTAGTGGTAGTGGTGGTAGTGGTGGTTGCGAGAGAAAATAAATTGTTACGTCATTATCAGGAAGAAAAGAAAAGAAAGAAAAGGAATGATGATGATGATGATGATGATAAGAAGGGAATGACGTCATCGTTACGTCATCATCATCATCATCGTTAATCATCATCATCATCTTCATCATTTTTGTATTGTGCATTAACTTTCTGATGGATGTATGTATATATGTATGTATGTGTGTATGTATGTATGCATGTTTACAATATTCTATAAATTCTACCGAATGTTTGTAACTTCTAATTCTCGAGAGAGATGGAGCAGTCGCTGCTCGCGATCTTGTTCGATTGTTAGATTACGTCGGTTGGTCGCAGAACTTCGAGTAAATGTTGGTATGTTTGTTTGTATATGTGTATCTTTGTTCATACTATTTCACCACTTTAAACAGTTGAACTCAGAATTGATAGAATGAAACCTTGAATGGAGAAAAAATCCCCTAAACTCTCCCAGAAATAATTTGAATAACTATCATCACCTGCTTTTGTCTTCTGCTTTTATTACAAATTTATAACTATTTATGACAGTTTATATTATATTTTTTATTATATTATATCATATCATATTATATTATATTATATTATATTATATTATATTATATTATATTATACCATATCATATTATATTATACTATATTATTTTATAATAAAATATAATATATTTATATTTATAAAATAATATCTATGAAAGTCGCTATAATAAATGATTCAAACGATGAAATGTTAAATTAATGGAATGTCTATAGAAACCACCATTACACTCAATTCTGAAGAATGGTAAGGAAGGATGGTGAAGTACACTCAAAGTTTCACCATAAATTGCTCCTGCCAAAATAAACAGCTATGATGGCTTTGCAAAAAACAATCAATGTTAATTATAAAGTGGTGGACTTTAACACATGAAAAAAAATTAATGAATGAATGAATTAATTCATTCATTCATTAAACAAAAAGAAACATCAATACCAATGTGTAAAGTTTCCCAATCAACTAATCCCCAAATTTTAAACAAGGAAAGCCTTAAAACGAACAATCACATCAACTCATCATCAATTAAGATCAAATGATGATGAAAGATTGAAGTTGTTATAAAGGTCGACTGGATGGAGAGGGCATAGAAGGCTTGACGTTTTGCCCCATCTAAACAAATCAGCTAAATATTTCCTTGCAAACATGAAGAGGGCTAAAGCAAGATTCTCCATAGTTAGATAATAAAAATAATTATTATTATTGACATAATTAGCATAATTAATGTCATCTACGTCATTGTTACGTCATCACGTGACGATCGATGGCTATGAGAATGAACCAAAGAGCATGAAAATCTGTAAACATAGAAACTCGAACGTAACAAAAAATAGTTATCGAAAATCGTTCAAATTAATTAAGCGCTGCTGCGAATATAAATTGCCGAGTAAAAATTAACAAAAATGAGTTTTGTTATTGTAACTACTACTACTACTACTACTTTTACTTCTATTACTACTACTACTGCTACTACTGTACAACTCTACAACTACTAC